AGGAGAAGAAGTTTTCCATGGGCTCCGATGCCAAAGCGAAGGATGGCGAGGCCAAGTTCTTCGAGAAGCAGTCCAAGGATTGGAGGATTGGTTTGTTTGAGGAGAAGAGCGAGGGCAAAGCAAAGCCCCAGAGAGCTCTGACAAATGACTCAGAGCAGCTCGCAATCTGCGATGGTACCGTGGCCGCCAGCAGGAACATGACGGAGAAGCTGTGGAAGGCAGCAGATGGGCAGCTTACAAAGGCGATCGCGGCCTACAATAAGATCCTTGTCGAGGGCAGAAAGTTGGTTGCTTCCGTGGATGAGAAGCAGGACAAGGACATGTACCAGAGTGTGCGACTTGGACTGGTTTTGTATTCCTGAAACAACCTTGCCAAAAGCTTCAACTTTTTTATCCTCGCAAGTAAAGTCACCAATTTAACTCGTAAGTAAATACATGGAGGCTTCAACCTTTGTCTTCGCAAGTAAAGCACAAACTTTAACTCGTAAAAGTAGTCTCTTCAACAACAGTCGCATGTAACCAAAGTGTTGTGCTTTCTCTCGCAAGTAAACCCAGTGCCCGAACACCGAAACCTGTGTGAGACCCCACAGCTGTAAGGAAGAGCATCGTCCAACAAGCAACAAAATCGAAGCAGGGACTTGAGCACCTTCTCTCGTGGCACGAGTACGAGGATGAGAATGAGGACGGGCCGATCACGGTCTCATCATATTCCAAGACCATGAGAGAGTCCGGGCGAGTAGCAACTCATCTCGAAGAACAAATGGCAGCCGTGAAAGCCAAGTTGACTGTCCGAGCCAAAAAAGGATGCTAGACAGATTTTGAATGTGTGCAGTTCCGGAGCTGTCGCCTCTATGTGGTGCAAACGGCGATTCTGAGTTTTGGCGATGAGAGAAAAAAGCAACGGCGATGATGAGAGCTTGAGATTTGGCGCTTTTCTGGTGATTTTTACATGTGAGCAACGACGTGTATAACTATAACCTTTTGAATCATGTTGGGGTGTTGGTCTTCGTGACTTTCAGCTTCAATTTTAGAGTATATATAACACCGATGGTGTTGTTGTAGCCTGCTTTGCATGTGTGAGTGCACACATGTGTAAAGCTATACCTCCGAACCTCAAGCATTGAATCAACCATGAAAGTCCATACCTCCAAAACCCTGTGAAGCTCACAACACAACCTTCGTAACCCCAAACCCTGAACCCTCTATAAACCCTTAAATCCTGAACCTTATATATAAACCCTCACAAGATTTGTTTCGTCCAGATTGAGGGGCAGTGGACCGTGTGGTTTAGGGGGTTTGGGTTTTGCGGGGTTGGGGCAAAAGCTTTCTGTTGTTGTTTGTATAGTATATTTGGTGCCCACACATATATGTATAACTTGCTCACAAGCCTCAGCCTCAATGCTCGGTGTGTCTGACCATGTGTGTCCCGTCCTTATAAAATGTTTTATGGCTATAGCGAACAAACCACTGTATGAAATAAGGCACAAAAGTTCAGCTGGCAACAAACACCAACTTTGCATAAAGGTGCTGTTCTGTTTATTTATATATGGAGAGAAGGTACCATGGAGGATGCAGGGCCCGAGCGAAAGCGACGAAAGGGTGGGGTCCAACAGAGATTGGGCCAGGCGGTGAGTGAGAAGTCCACCTCAAGTTCTTTGCACGATTTGCTGATGACGTATTTGGCACAAGGCCTCCTGTCGGCCTCTATGATTCATGCAATTGCAGTTGCAGCGGCTGCCGATATTAGAAATGCAAGGGACGGGAAAATTCTTCCTGATTTGGACAGGCTCAGCAAGGTGAAGCATGGAAAAAATTTGCAATCTTCTATTGACAACCACTTGGCCCAGCAGTCCAATCTTCCGATGCCGACAGAATTTAATATCCCCTTAGCAGGACAAGTCGAAGGCACGGCGACTTCCATGATATTGCTTCCGCACGAGATTATGCACCACCTTTGGAAGACGACGACTGGATGGATTACTTCTGTGTTGCCTGATGCGGAGGCTTTGCCTCGGTTTTGGAGATCGTTCAATGGACACCCTTGCATGTCAAATCATGCGGTAAAATCGCGAGCTAATTGGATGCAAAGGGCTATTCCCCTTTGCATACACGGCGACGAAGTTCCTGTTTTTGGAGTGGGCAAGATATGGGCTCGCAGTGTTTTGGCTTTTTCATGGGTATCGCTGATGGCCACAGCGGCCGGCCGATCTGCTGCCGATTGCAACCTCTACATTTGGGGCGTTTTTGAGAAGTTCATTATTCCGGCTGGCGGCGAGGGGGCTGGGACAATGGAAACTTTTTGGCAAGTGATGTATTGGTCTTTCAACATTCTTTACACCGGTAAATGGCCTGCTCGGGATTGGCAAGGCAAGAAGCAGCCTGGTGTGTTGTTGTATATGTACACATGTGCCAGAAATCTGGAAACCCTTACATTTTAGGACCCTGTGGGAACCCTATAAGCTGTAAGCCTTTTTGTCTTTCTTGATTTTTTATGATGTGGGTCCTGTTTTAGATATGTGACTATATACATACACACCCTATGTATGAGAGCCCTGTTCTCAAATCCAACCCTAACCCAACAGCTTCCTTGATGGTGATGATATATATATATATATACACAGTATATAATATCGTATAAACATATATAAGCCACAAAACCACGGACCCGTGGAATCCCAAAGCAGCACGAACCGGATGTGAGAAAAATCACCACACAGTATACGTAAAAAACCCTCTCACCACATGTAGATATATATATGTAGATATATATGAACCTGTCTCACAAGTAAGAAAATGTTTGTTACACGGCACAGAGGTATGGGGCCAGTACAAAGGAGGGCGAACGAGCGGGAACCGACCTATGCGGAGGATATTATGGTGTCCTGGTTCAAATGGCTGGCGACTTGGATTATTATGCGAAATGGCTGGAGGTTCCACGATGGAGCAATCACAGCAAACCTTGTGCTCTTTGTCGGGCCGCCTTCAAAGGACCACTAACATGGATGGACAATCGTGCAAATTCGCCGTGGCAAGCCTCGTGCCTCACCACCACCAACTGGAGATCCCACTGGAATCCATCATGCCAGCTGTATTCTTTACCTGGCTTTTCGGGACTTTGTATCACGATGGACTATATGCATTGTATGTTTTTGGGGTGGATACAGTTTTTTTATGGCTCCGTGCTCAGCATCGTGGTCCACGATTGTTTGGGTGGGAGTATCTTGGCGAATTTGAAATACTGCGACTCCTTCATCAAGAAGTACCAGCGAGACAACGAAACCAGATACACATTCCGCCAGCGACTTCTGAAACTTACAATGATACAACCAAAAAAAGGATTCCCCAAGATGAGAGGAAGAGCTTCCGATATTCAATCTTTGGACAGTGCAATTCTTGCTCTATTCGAAGAGCAAATGGACGAGGGTATCTATCAACACAAGCAAATCCGGCTCTTTTTGCGGTTGAACCTGCAGCTGGCTGAAATATTGGAAGCTTATGGGCCACGGTACGGCTTCTTGGCTTTACCTGAGGAGCAAGCAAACCTGGCTTTCAAGCTCGGTTGCCAAATGGCACAGCTCCACAGCAGCCTGCAAGCCCACTACAAAGGGACGGGGGAGAAGCTCTTCAATCTCACAAGTAAGACCCACTTCGTTTTGCATAGTCTCCTACTCAGCAGTTTTATTCATCCGTCGATGGTCTGGTGCTACAAGGGAGAGACGACGATGCATCGCCTGCAGATTCTATGGAAGAGTTGTTTGGCAGGGGTGAAGCACTGGCATGCTTCCAAAAAGGCTGCCCTCAAAGAGAGGCACCTTTTGTTTCTGCGGGGCAAAGTTGGGCGATCGTGAGAGCTTCTTTCTTTTCTGTCGCGAAAAAAAAGAGTGTCTCTCTGCTATATGTGGTGCTCCTGGTCTTTTGTTTGGGCTTTTGAATCACAGTTGTCGTATATACTGGTGTGGATCTTATAAGCAATCTGCATGGATTCTCTTTGGTTAGTTTATGGCTTTGGGCCTGCGAATTTTCGGAAAAGTCCTTACTTCTGCTGTGGATCCTTTACATGTGGTGTCTGCGATTGCAGAGCAAAACAAACTCATGCCGGTGATTTTTTTAAATCCTTTACATGTGGTGTCTAAGTTTGCAGCCGCAAATATGAGTTCCATGTTTGTGTTTGCATAATGTTTTTATGTGTTTTGTCATGTTTTTAGCTCACCAGAAAATTTACGTAAATTTGGTCATTTTACACTAAATCCTTCGTTTACAGTAAATCAAGCCAAAGTGTAAAATTAGGTAAACAGCAGACTCAGGGTAGCAAGCATGCTGGGAATCCAGGCAGCACGCAGGAAACACCCCAAAGACCCGAGGACCCCACTTAAAGATTAAACTAAAGCAGGAAGCCCCAGGCCAATTTCGGCCCCACGGATTCCCGGACACGAAAGCCTGCCTGGGAGACCCTATTGGAGAGTATTAAGGGTTTAGGGTTCGGGGACTTTGGAAAAAGACGCCCAGCACTGCTCTTGCAGTCTGACCTTAAGCCTTAAGCAAAGACCCGACAAACCTGCAGCCCAGGCTCTCCCCAGCGAAGACGAAGCAGTGCAAGTGCCAATTGGCAAGCAAGGATGAAAGCTTGGAGGGTCGGGTCTGGTGGCTTGCGAAGTTATTTTAGTTTCCTAGACAATCTGAGGATTTTTTCTGGGGTTGTTGTTCGGCTTATGGTTTCGCCGGGTTTCGTTCCTGTAAGGCCTAGGCTCGGCTTGGGTTTTTTGGGATCCGGGTTGGGAATTGGAAGCTTCTGTTGGAGTTGATATTAGCTTTTCTTGCTAGTTAAAACAAAATCAGGACCTCCTAGTCCTAACCTAGAGAGAACTCGGAAAGAGGGCTCGTGTCAGTTTTTACATTGGATGATGCAACACTTCGGGTTTGGATATAGTATACACACAGATACTGAAGAGGATCAGCCATGCCCTCCTGTGTTTGAGCAAGACGTGAGGTGCAAGGAGGCCTCATCTACCGAAACATGCGAAGTCTTCTAATTGATTGCACATAGCACTCTCCAAGAGGGTTTGCTTCTTTCCTGCACCCCAGCACAAACTCATCATGTCCAAGATTCGGAGCAGCATGTATTGCTGCCTCCTCCAAGGCCCCGAGGTCGGATGATCAGAGCAACATCTAAGCTCAATCTCCAACCCACAAAACCGTCTAGGTCTCAGCAGTCTCTTGCCCAGGCTCCTTGAGCTTCGGAGTGGCCTTCCAGATTTTCGCAGCACAAAACCCTGAAGCACTAGAGTTGAAGAGCACACTGGTTTGCAAGAGCAAGCCTGCATGGCAAGAATCTTCTTCTGCCAAGCAGTGACCATTCGCTTGCCACGAAGACTCAAGCGATCGTAGTGCGGCCTGGACTCGCCAAGGTGCTCGGCGAGGTCGCCTGCCAGCAAAGATCTCTGGCTTTGAGGGTTTGAAACTTTCAGGGTAACCGGTTTTTTTACTTAGGACAACCTAAGGATTATGAATTTCCGGCACCTAAAGAATTCGGGCTATGTGATGGACCTGTGGGGGTGTGAACCTGGGCCGCAGACCACAAACCCCACCAAGTTCTCCAGACAAGAGCGAGTCAGCTTTGAGGTTTTAGGCCTTAGGCTTTACTACGAACTTACAGCAGGTGCCTTCGACCCCACAGACATCCATGGCTGTGTCCAAGTTGACGATTTCTTCTTTGTGCAGCGTCTTGAGAAAGCAGATCAAGTCAGACCTGCATTTGGGAACCATCTAGGGAATTATGCTCTGCAGGACCAGCTCCACAACAAATTCTAACTCCTTCAGCGATTATGGAACCAGAACCAGGATTGGCGATGTTTCAGGGTTGGGGTCCAGGGTTCATTAGTTATGTGGCTGCAAACGATTAGACGGCCTGGAGAAATCTGCGGGGAAAGTCTTCATCAAAGCCGGCTCGAAGGATGCTGCCATCTCTGTGTACTTGGCGGGGAGCTGGCCCAAGAGGCCAGGCCCGGATGGTTTTGCTGGGGTTTGGGAGAAACCATCCTTGAAGAGGTCATCGTCCGACTCGTCACCGTCGGCGGACTTCTCGGATCCTGAGTCTTCCTCTCCTGCCTTTGCATCCTTGCCTTTGTCTCTCCTTCCTTCCTGCTCCTCCTCCTCCTCTTCGTCGTCGTCTTGCAAGGAGGGAGACTTCTGGGGGGATTCAGGGAGCTTCGAGGTCCGGCGCACCTTGTTTGGGTTGATCTTCTTGGGGTCCTCGGTCTTTCGCTTCTTGGCACCACCAAGCAAGCACTCTTGCAACTCGGCACTCGCCTCCTCGCAAAAAGATAGAGGGAGCTGCAAACCCCAGAGAAAAGAGGATGTATCATTAGGCCAGCAGGATGCAGAAGTCAGCAGCAGACAAGTTGCAGAGCAGACCTGGAAAATTCAAAACACAGCAGCCTCAGCATTACCAGGCAGGCCTGGGAGAGCACCTGCACACGGTCCGTAAGAACCTTCTCGAAGTGGTCACGGGCCCAGCCCTGCTTCCTGGAATTCGTGGACTCTAATCTTAGAGGCTCCGGGTGCAGGTTTGCTCCAGTCATAATCGGGGTCTGGACAGAAGCATAACTTACTTGCCTCACAAAACCCAAAAATGCAGCCTCGTGTCTTGCAGTGCCTACGAACGTAGGCACGAAGGCTGAGGCAACCATCCCGTAGGGTCTGGCAGTTCGTGAGGAGCAAGGAGTTGAGCTGCTTCCCGGTGCCTCGGCAGAAATATTCTCTAGGGTACATCCAGGCATAGTCGTGTCGGTAGCATGAAAAGGGGTTTGCTTGCAGTATCCTGGCCGTTGCAACACAGCTTTTCCTGCAGCTACTGCAGAGTCGTCTGAATTGGCATATCATAAGGCCTTGCTTTCCCTGAAATAGAATCAGTCCAAAACATCCAAGCCTTCTGGACCTGACCGTGCACTGTACAACACCAGCCACTCGCGAATGCGACTCCAACTCAGCGGCTTCATGTCCGGAGAGATTGGGTGGAGTGACAAGAAGTCTAGCACTTTTAGGTTGACTTTCATGTTTCTCTCGGTCATCATAGGCAGAGTGTGCCCGCAGTACAGTGGCTCTCGTCTTGCATAGCCTGTGGCAATCCACTCGGGCGAGGAAGGGGATGCCAGCCTCAGGGTCGTCAGGCTGTCTATGGCCATAACGAAGAGGTCTTCTTCCTCATCCGGCGTTTGGCAGCAAGTGTAGGCCTCCTTTAAGGATTCCCTGAGACATTCAAGGTGAAGATCCAAGTAGCTTGCAGCCCCATCCTCTCCCAACTTTCGGATAAGGTCGCTTTTCGCAGAGATCAGCCAGGCACTGTAATGAGGAACCATCTTGTTGCAAGGCTTCACCATGTCTAGGGCCCGGGTCGAGGCAGCTAGCTCAAGACTCGAGTTTAACAACTAAAACAGCTGGGCGATGACAGCACAGGTTGGCACAATCCGCTAACTTTGCTACATCACACCGTTTCGACTGGCATCTAAGGTGACCACAGAGCTGCACCACCGTGGCGAGGCGTTTGCGCCACTGAGTGGCTGCCAATCCTGCCTGCCCAGGACTGCAACAAAGATACTACCTATGATCTTTGAATTTAATATAACTCCACGAGACCAGCAACACCTGAAGATGTGTTACAACAAAGACGAAGCCTTCACAGCAGCTTCGTTCTCTTCCTCCCGTTGCTTGGTCTTCCGGGCTCTCTGAAGCCGGTCCACCTGGTGGCTTTCCTGGGAATTATGTTTCTGTTGGCAGGATACCTGGACAACTTTGGAGGTTTGGGATTCAGGGTACATGGGTGCTTTCATGGATTCATGAACATTATGAAACTACGTGTTTCCTTGTCAACAGGAAGAGAACCCGGGACCTAACAAGCAACAGACGGAGAGGTAAAACGATAAAATAATAGAGGACAGAGAGAAGAGAGAGAGAGAGAGAGAGAGAGAGAGAGAGAGAGAGAGAGAGAGAGAGAGAGAGACACACAGAGACAGGGAGACAGGGAGAGAGACAGAGAGACAGGGAGAGAGAGGGAGAGAGGGAGAGGGAGGCTTCTGGGCGAGACACAGAGGCGAGGAAAAAGAGGAGAGTTTAACGAAACATAGGGAGCTAAGTAGACAGAGGAAAGAGTCGGGGAGGAGGGAGTCAGTCACAGTGGGGGAGAGAGAGAGGGAGAGACAGAGAGAGATCCAGCGATCCTTGAAGATGTTGTCTGGGCACACAAGTCAAACAAAGTCTGCTCTCTGTCTCCCTCTCTCTGTCTCTACCTCGCTCTCGCTCTGTATCTCTCCCCCTCTATCTCTCTCTCGCTCGCTCGCTCCCTCCCTCTCTCTGTCTCTCTTTGTGCCTCTCTCTCCCTCTCCCTCTCCCTCTCCCTCTCCCTCTCTGTCTCTCTGTCTCTCTCTCTCTCTCTCTCTCTCTCTCTCGCTCTCTCTGTCTCTGTCTCTTCACAAAGACAAGATTCCAACTGTCCACCGAGATCGAGTACATCAGCTGCCGGTAGAGCCGAAGTCAAGCCGCTGAGCACATATGCTAGCTGCCGGGCTGTGAGGTCTTCCAAACGACACACCGAAGGCCCACGAACCAAGTCTTTGTGCCTCAAGCCGAAAAGGGAAGCAGCCTCTGCGAACATATCGTCGGAGGCCACCTCGTCGGAAGACTCCTGCTGCGGGCTGTCGCTGCTGGAGCTCCTGGAAGAGCCTGGGATAAAAGAGTCAGTGCTAAACAGACTAAGTTTAGCTGGATGGAAATTAGCAAGATCGACACAGGTGACGAGACTAGATAAGTATTGTTCAAAACAAAAGGCTCTTCTTCTTTTTCTTCTTTGACTTCTTCTTGTCTTTCTCCTTTTCGTCCTTCTTGGCTTTGGTTTCCTTCTTGGCCTTCTTCTCCGTCGTCGTAGGCGTATCCACAGCTCCTGCCACAGATTTCGGTAGGGACAGGATGCACGGATTCAGTGTCTGGAAAGCTACTGACTGGCGGGGATCCTGACAGTGCACCCTCAAGGCTGCGTCGAGCCGTGCTCAAGAGGAAGTGCTTGGGGTCCGGTGTCGTCTCAGGCTCTTCTTTGACGGAGCCAGAAGCCGGGAGGCTCTTGGTAGAGAGACTCCTGCCATGTTATTTAGATTGCTCGAACCTAGCGACCTGAGGCTTCGCTGCCATGAAGAGAACAGGAGTCCTTGGCAGCCGGTTGCCGCCACTTTTCTTCGCCATCACACAAGCACGGATCCGCCGTCGGATCAAGCTCCCGTCCCCTCGAACACTAAGCACTCTAGACAAAAGAGCCTGAATGCAATCCGAAGCCCAAAAGGCACACCTTGGAGTTTTGTATGCTTTAGCACAAATTGGGTCCTAGTCAGGGGATTTGAAGACTTTACAGGATTCTAGGATCGAAGTAGTTTTGTGTTTGGCAAGCCTAGAAAACAGAAACGGGAATGCGTTGCAATCGTGTCGCTCTGCAGCTGAACCAAAAACCCAGTTAGCTAGAAGCAGCCCTGGAAGAAATCCATAAAAGCGCCGAAACCCCAACCTGGATATTTTAAGGCCTGGCCACTCTCCTAGGCAGCACGACTCGAAAAACCCGAAAGAACCCGGACTCCAAGGCACAGGGTGCTTTGCAAGCAGCCGCAACGACTGAGTGCAGCGTCGGATTGCTGAGCCTTTTGCTGCAATCGTAGGCAGCTCACTTCTTCTAAATGGAGGAAGCAAGAGTCCCTGTGCTGAATTGTGCCCCAACCAGTGAAGCAGGGTTGACTGCTGTTTCAGGTACCAGAATACTTGCAATCCAGCACGGTTCCCAAGCAGGGGCAGTCGTACTGCCAGCTAATTTACCCAAGGCAGCTCTGATCAAGGAGGTTCTAGGCAAAGCTCTAGCTATAAAATGTAGTTATATCACATGCCCCTCCCAACTGAGCGAAATAAGTAAACCTCCAAATCCCCACCTTCTGAACCCAAGATGCACGGAACCATCCAGAGCTGATCATCTGAATTTCCGACGGCTTGCTCCTTGGCTTGGTACGGACTGATACACCGGAAGTCGGAAGCAAAGCATCTGAAACTGCAGCCCGAGTGAGAGCAGCCAAAAAGTATGGCCAGGCAGCCAAGATGTCGGTGGTGGAAGCCTGGATTCCACATAGCATCCAGATGCCTTAATCATGACTAAGAACAACGTTTGTCTGGTTCTAGCAGTGGAGGGATGTTATACCTTCTGCAAGACTTGGGCCCGACTTAGCCCCACAAGAAAGAACTCCAACCTAAGCCAGAAATCCCTGAGAGTATTGTTCTCTGCTGTGGGAAGAAAACAAACCTGGCACAGGGTGCCACAGCAAGATCGGCAATCAGTGGGCTTCCTACATTGCAAATCCTAGCCGAGATGCGACCCGAATCAAGCAGGAGTCAGCCCTTGGGATTAAATTCAGAGGACACAATGAAGGTAGACCTTTCAGGATTGGCGTGTTAGGCTTCGGGTTAGTGATTTATAGCTTGTCTCCTAATACAAAGCTTGCTAGAACATGGCTGCTCGGCTTGTTCGCATTCGCGTGTGTGTCTAGCTCTTGAAATCAAAATTCACGGAAATCCAACAAAGTACAAACAGTACTGTACATGCATGGAATGCAGACACTTTACAGAAGCAGGCTGACTGCTGCCGCACACGAGCTTCAAGCATACACAACATTGTCCGAGTTCGGGAGTTCTCGTGTTCTAACTACAGTGAAATTCTGGTCGCGGCAGTTCTGAACTGTCGCCTGCTGGAGCAGTAGCTACTTTGACTTCAAGCAAGGCACAATCAAAACCGTTGTGCATTGTCGCCCAATACATATGTCCAAAATCGCCGTCCTTGGTTGCTATGTTGCCGCAAATGAAATCGTCACTCGCACCCACCATGCAGCTCGAACCACGAAGTGCTGCAAGAATCGGTGCCAGCATCATCCGAGAATCTCCCACTCCTGCAGCATGAATGGTTAGAATCACACTACTTCTAGCCGAAGGCGTACGAGAGGGCGGTCCTGGCCGACAGCATCCGCCACAGTCAGAGTGGACTCAGCAAGCCCGGAAACCCAAGCCGCCCAAAACAAAAACAAAACAAGACGAAGCAGCACATGTTCTCAAAGACATGCGAAGGCAAGCACATGAGAAGCCAAGGCACCGCCACCGGCGGGGCATTGATTGGCTCCGTCACGAACAAGTCGGCTTCCTGCAAGCTTTCCCATGGATCTACAGCGAATCTAGCAGGCACCAGAACAAAGAATGAAGATTGGGTAAGTGGCCTCAAATGTAATTGTCCGGCGAGTATAATTGCCATAAGGGTTGCCGTGCAAAGGCAGCAGCATGTAGCCGTGATCGAGGTCCTGGACCCGGCACAAACAATCGCATCTCCATTTAGACTACCATTTCCTAGTTTTGTATGTGACAATGTGTTTGTCCACACCGGCCTGGAGAAGCAAGTCTTTTGCCAAGTCCTCCAGCCATCTGGTCATGTTCATGCCCATCAGGTCCTTAACACTCCGTCGGTGTCGCACCACCACCAAGTCGCATACCTGAATCGCCAAACCACAAACCAACCAGCCAAGCCATAGACAACTGTAGATTGCAGGAGAGTGGCACAGTAGGTGTACGTGCCCGTGTGATAGCCGAAGTGCGACATAGTCGATGGCATCCCACCCGATCGCCGGTTGCACAAAGGAGGGAACCTGAGACCAGTTGGCGCATCAGCAAGCAAGAGAACCGGACACCTTCATAGCAAGGGCACATACACAGATTGCAATCAAGCAGCATGCTCATGAGCCTGCCAGCAACATGCTTCACACCTTTGATGATGAACTTGTCCGTGCCCCACAAAGTCGTGAGGGACCTAGATTTTCATGAAACAGCTGACATTGCAGACACTGACAAATCTCTTGAACAACCACTTGTCCAGAAGTCCCAGCTGCTGCGTTCTGCAACCGAACGAGGACATCGGGAAGAGGCATTTCGCAAAGCCCAGGCGTCGAGCAGCCTCCTGTTTCAACAACGATACTGAAAGCACAACCTCACTCTATTCCGAAATCAGCGACGGTCAAGCAATCAAAACCCGGTCTAGAAGGTCCTGCAAAGCCGGGTGCTGCTCAAAGACCTTGCAGTCATCCACCGTAAGGTGAATGACAGTCCTCACAGCGATCATCTCCGCGAACCGCATCAAATTGCCCACGAAGACCTCAATTGTCGCAATCTCCCAACGGACCAAGGCATTCGCTGCAAACTCAGCCAAGTCACGGCCACCTTGTCCTTCATCGCCAGGCTGCCATAGCGATGCCGGGAAAGCCTCAATCCCATTCTAGATGCAGGTAGCGAAAGGGCTCTAATTGTATATATACATCGCCGAATGAAATGCTTCTTGGGCACATAATATACAGCAAACCTCCAGGAAGAATTCGGGAGCACATCTGTACACCTCAGAGTGAGAGGTGCTGGCTAGCCAGCAGGTAGCCCCGGAAATTGGATTGGAAACTGCGAAGCAACGAAATGCAATCAAACGGCAGAGGTCCTGCCCTTGTTCAGTTTCCATGGACTCGGCATCCTCGATGCCGATCAAGTCCGCGGTGGAGATGTTCTCCTGAGGCGAGGCGGCTGCCTAATTACGGTTCAATGTCACTGTCCAACTTCTACACTTGGACACCAATGCAGACTGAGGCACATTGTGCACAGCAGCGGACAACAAGGAATGCCCATACTGGAGAACGTGAATGAACCTCTCCCGTCTCATCAACCCAGAAGCTTCGTCCATTTGGTAACCGGGCTCAAAGACATACGGGACATCTCGCCGCACCCTTTCCAAAAAAGGGCTTGCCATTGCAGTGGTGTCCATGGTTGTCGTGACAACCGCCCTATAATTTCTATGTCATATTTGCAATGCCCATTTGCCTTTGCCTGCCATCTATGCAATGCTGCTATGTCCCATTGACACACATTCTGCGAAGCTCTCATGATATTAGCTGCGAGGAATCGAGGCAGCACGCAAGAATTGTTGCAGCACGTTCCCTGAGACAGCATGGCTTGGGAAACTCTTGATTTGTTTCGTTCCGGAGGGCTCACCCGACATGATGAAATTGTTAAGTCAGGGTTTTCCCACACACAGGCCAGATTGTTGAGCTATGAAGTTCTATGCATAGCGTGAAGTTGGCAGGTCAAGTCAAAGGGATTCAAGGTTTAAAGGTGCGATGAAGGAAGCCGTGTAATCCCAGGTCCTCGCACAAAGGATCCTTAATCCTACCTTGGCTTTTAAGGCCTCCGATGAAGTAGTATACCTGGTTTCTGCACGCAAGTGCCAAGAGCCGTAGTTCACAATGCAAGATGCAGATGAAACGGGCGTTATTTGAACATGTCGCCCTCAGGACATCGATTTTCCGAATGCGTATTGTTGTACAAAATCATATATACCCGAAAAGTCTAAGAACAAGGGTGATGAGCCCGAAAAAAAGGCAATGTATATACTGGAATGGGTTGCCATGATACCGCAACGTAGGCTAAGGCGACGTAGTGCAACACAATGCTGCTCGCGTGCATACATCAGTCAAAAACGAGCAAACAGAAAAGTGCAGTGGACCGTTTGTGATGTAGTGTGTTTGCAGCGTAATACGGTGGAAGACAATACATTAGTTCTTCCGGTTCCGCTGCTAAGTCAGTAAAGGAGGAACACGACAGGAACGCAGCCGATACTGATGTGTAGCCGCTGCATCCTCTATTATGATCCGACTCAGAGTCTATCCACAATCCTGTTTGGTCATAACTGGGCCGCTGCATCTCCCTTCTCTCAAAGGCATTGATATGCACCGGTATGGTGCATATGTTGCCTGCGTGCATATACCTGCAGTTATGCAGGCGTGCTTTTGAATAAGGCTTACGGCATTCGTAGACTAGTAGAACATGCATGTTGCACGCAATTTTCTCGTCGACCATGTCACATAATCGCCCTGACTAAACGAAGCTACCTACATGGGAGGAGGACAAAGCCGCAGCAGAGGAACAATCTGCACGGGTAAACGAGGCTGCGACGATCTCAGGATGTTCCGAAGACAGCCGGGAATAAACTGGCCTTTGCGTTATGGCTATCCAAGACAAAGAGGCCCTTGGTTTCAGAACCCTAAACATTGGTTCAAGGTTCCGCGGTGTGCAAGATTGCGGGGTGCTGGCCTTCCAGAACTGGGGCCCCGGCATTTTGAGGCTCATCTATGCAGATCTCCGTTGCGCACCTCATGGTCCATTGTTGTTATGGTTTACGGTAATCGCAGTGCGTTGAAGTCTATGTCAGAAAATCATATTGGATTCAGCGTATTGCCGAGCTTTGTGGGTCGGAGCTGTCGTACACAAAAAACCAGGCCGGACTGACATGTGAGCTGCCACTGACTTGTGTGTTGGTTGTATATGCGCAACTCAGAGCGTCAGATTGTATTTGGCTTTTGTCCGCACAGACTAAACCCTGACCCCTCTAAACCTTGATTCCTAAACAAAAGAACCCCAAGCACTAAAGTCAATAGACTTCATCCGGATTATGGCCAGTTTGGGAAGTCCATGCTCCTAGCAAACTGTGAGCTTCTGACAATACCGGACCCTAGATGCCGGCACTGACTAGTGCCTTCCACACTGCAACGACCCCCTAAACGCTTGTAGTCCTATTCTGTTGATAGGATCATAGGGTTTCCGTTTAGGGTTTATGATAGACCCTAAACCGTATAACGTTTTTTTCAATGAACCACCATCTGTGAGAGTCAGAGCACCGAGCTGTCAGCGAGACATTGGGAACGCCTTCTGCCCCCGAATCTCCGAAACCCTGAACCCTCAACCCCCAGCTCCAAACCCTAAACCCCATAAGCCCTAAGCCTTACACGTAAGTTCTAAACCCTAAACCCTAAATTGCTATACACCCTAGACTTCCAACACCGCCAAGCAAGGTTGCGGTCCTCAGGCCTTTCGGGCCTGCGTTTCCGTGGTGGGGAGTTGATCAAAATTATGGGCCCTATTGGGGTCTGTACTTCAGTATAGAAGTATATTCCTTATAGTTTAGGGGCCCATACTTTAGGAATTATGTTCCTTACATGTTTAGGGGACCAACAGGGGCCAATAGTTTTGATCAACCACCTGGCGTTGATGTGGTGAAGCTTTGGGAGGGTGAACCTCAAGCCCCAAGCGCGATGTGCGGTGGTGCAGCGGTGGTAGTGGCACTTCGGTTGTTGTTTCGGTCGTAGCAGCTGATGCTGATTTTCTGCTCCTAGAAAATCTCGGGGCATCTATTCAGGACGCCGCTGCGGCGAGCAGAGTATTGGATGACGCCGGGTTCTCAGCCTATGTAGATGTGGCCCGACGAGTTTTTCGCACCAGTTCACAATCAGATATTATTTAGGCGACGTGGTGATGTATCTTCATCATCGTGATCATCCATGTCGCTCCCGTTGGAAGTCGATGGTTGACGCAAGTGGTCAGATAGTCATACATGAAGCGACCAATCAAAGTAGAAGGGCAGTTCAATGAGCACAAGATTTCAGGATGTAGGGTTTGGTGGTTGAAGTAAACGAAGCATGAGGATGCTGGAATCGTCTGCTTGAAGTTCCTGGCGTGTCGATAAATCGCAAATTATTCTAATTCTGTCACGGACCTTCCTTTCACCTGTGCCAATATGACACAGGCCGGTACTTAATTAGTGTGCGGCGAGGTATCTCCGCACATAGAGGGAGTTGACTTGGTGTAGCGTGCCTGCTATCGTTTGGAGCTCATCATTCAAAGTACCAAGAAGAAACACGTGGCTTACGAATATATTTGATCCTCTGCTGTTTTTTTTGTGGGGGGCGTAGAGAACCCATCGTTTCCTAATCAGGTTTCCAGCCTTGAACAAGGAAGTAAAAGGGCTGAACGACGGTTTCATAGAGGGTTGACTGCTGGGATGTCTTGATCGAAGCAGGATGAAGGAGTTTCTCTAGCAAGATGTTCGCCTCCGGAGAACCGTTGTAGTGAGGCAAGTGCCTCGAACCCAAAGCCTAGCCCCCTTTAAGGAGACCCGATCGCACACGTATGGCAACCCTGCTGCTGTCCTTGTTGCCATGGCCACGACACACTACTGGAGGGCAGTTTTGCATGCTCATGGAGGTGATCAGGAGAAACTGAAGGACTTCGTCGTGGGATGCAGCGAGTATTTATGTACCTTTAGCAGATGCCAGCTGCCCAGTTGAGTTACCTGCAACAAGGGCTGCCAGCAAGAGTCACGTGAGTGCATCACTAGCCTCACATGGTGAGTGCTGTCTTGAGTTCTTCCCCATGATGCCCACAAACGGGTACAGGATCCTCAGTGGTTGACATGTAGCGCGCTTTTAAAAATGTCATTGTTGCTCATGCTACCCATGAACCTGCTTCCAATGTCCTCCACACCCGTTTGTTGTCCAGTTGAAGCCCGCAGTAGCGAGTCTACAAATCGGTAGTTGTCAAAATTAGGGCCCCTTTTTGGGTCTGAATATTAGGTGCCGTAGTATATTAAGGACCCAAAAGGGGCCATAACTTTGCGGCTACCCAAACTTTGCATCGCGGTAGATTGGACTGGCAGCTACTGTCACAATCGGCCGCATGTCTGACCGAGAGTGCAGCGTGTGGGGCATAGAGTTTTGATCCAACACATAGCCAGAGTCGCTGAGTGCTATCGCTAGTCATAGCAACATTATTGACGCCAGCAGTCCTCATCATCATCTCCGTCAGCTGCAATAGCACCATCATCAGCAGCATCCTTCTGATCACCTCTCTCACCCGTCAACACCATGACGAAGTGGTAAGGCATTGATTGGCATTCGCTTGATGCTTGCGACTGACGTTGTCTCATGAGTCAGGATCATATTCGCTATAGGCGCGAGCAGCAGTATCAACAATCAAACATCTAGATCGGATAAACCGTGAACTCAAGAAGTCACTCTCACAGCTTGGGCACTTGCTGCCTCGGGCCCGGTTTCCTCTCAACGCCAAACCCTAAAATGAAAGACTTCGGGTTTAAATTCTGACTCGGCGAGCATTGCGCCTGGCACCGACACCATAAACCCAACTCCTAAACCCTAAACCCGCTAAACCCCATGAAAATGGATTCTGTAGGGTTTACCTGCAGACTCTGCCACTGCCACCTAGTTCAGCCGCTATGGCTGCAGAGATAACAATACTAGTACAAATGGTGATCATGGCACAATATCACCTAACAGCAGGAGGTCGTGGTCAAGGATGCAGAAATTGTTGGAATTCTTGGGGCGCTTGTGCTGACAATTACTGTGGCTGGGCTGGCCATCGTCGATGCAAAGCTAGCCGACGTCTCCTTGATGCGGACGGTATACGTGGCATTGGCTTTTTGCAGCTTCGTTTTTTCCCTGATATCGTTGATGATCTCCTCGCGGCTGTTACTTTCGATCAACAGATTACCTGCCAAGGATGCTTTGGCTTGTCTTGAGGAACTTGATAGGGCTGGTGCTGCACACGCTTATTGGTGGTTTAGCAGAAGCCTTCTATTTCTGTTATTTGCCGTGCTGTTATCGGTGTACCTGCTGTACGATGGCCTTTGCTTCGTCATATGTAGCACCTTCACGCTGCTGCCTTTGTGGATGATGTACCATCTGCACAGAGTGCACGTAGGAGTGGTGTGGCCTATGATGAACTTCTCTCCTCTGGCGGCAGACAGTCACGACGACACCTCTGATTCCGCAGATCCCGGAGACACATTGCCAAAATCCTCGCGCACCAGGTCTCGAGATTTGAACCGGTGTTGAAACTGTCTGACAGCCCGCGTCGCAATGCCTGGATGGAAGCTGTAAGCGAGGAGGAAGACTTTTGTGCATGGGGAACTTCGAAAAGCAAGGTGTGCAAGGAGTCCGGGAAAGCTGCACTGCTGTTAGGCTGCGAATCATAGGAGGTACAGGGCCAATACACAACAGGGTCAAGTTTGCAGGAATCTGCTGTTGTGTGGGCAAGGCCACAAGGTTGGTTGCTTGTGCAGATTTGGTTCATTCAGTTTGCAAGCTTATAACGTGCACGGATAACCATGTGGAACACGTTTCGCACGAACACCCAGGACAACCACAGGTTGGTAAGTGAAACAGTCTACGAGTAGCCCATCATAGCCCATCCATCTAAACCCCCTTATTTGAGGAGTTATCTTGAAATAGGTGGCATCAGACCATGTCAGCCCCAAGCCGACCCTCGTTTCAGGTTGAAGGGGCAAGCGGTCTTGCTGGAAGAGCAGCGTATCGAGGATCTAACTCCCGACATGTGCAAAGGTGTTGGTATGTAAGGGCTTGGAGTTTAGGTTGTTGGTCCCTGCGGTGAAAAGGGCCAGCCTTTCAGCAAACATTTGCAGACTATTTGTGGTGCACAACAGCCCCATGGTAGGGTGTGAGGGCAAATTGTGATAGTCCTTTCCGGTACCCATTCTGGTGATCTTTCTTCGGCGGGAGAGACAGAGGGGTTCAATGGAATTTGCTGGGAAGCATACCGTAAACCCCGAAGCTTCACCAAAGTATCGGTGTATCGGGCATGCTGGCCCTATAGTGTAGACGGAGGGACGGAGGGCCCCATTCAGGAAGCACAGCGCTGTTGTTCTCAGAACACATCGGGCCAATTCTGCTGCAGCGCTCTGGTCTTTGAAGTTCTCGCTCCGACACTTGACTGTTCGACAGTTGCAGCGAACGTGGACTCCGCTGAGGTTATACTAAGTCAAAAAACCCTAATTCCCATTGTAGGCGTCATGTTTGCGGACCTAACCACTCTGGTTCATGTTTTCGTGTAACGAGGTCGGCGGCCCGCTCCGCTCTATCCGAAGCCCCTAAGCCCTCCGTGGTTTGGGTTTGGAGTTGTCGGTTTCGAGCCTAGGCTTTGTTACTTGGCGAGGATGCTGCTACCATGATGGAGGTCATGGAAACTTCCGAAGAGCTCGATGACGCGAAGACGCAAGAACAGGCGTGGTTTCTCATGGCAGGGTCTGGGGTTTGGGGTGTTGCAGGCTCGTGTTGCTTTCTACCTGCAATCGCTGCCAAATCGTGCAACAACTCCTGTGATTGTCATCTTACGAGAAGCCTCGAATGCACGGGATACATTGGACTTGAGAGTTTCTTGAGCCGACTATACTGAGCTAGTTAAGTGAGGGTTTCCATTCTAAAGCCTAAACCCCACAACCCCAGACCAAAATCAAGTCCCATGTGAACGCAGTGCTGCTGCAAGAGACTGTGGTGTGGCCAGGTCGATGAGATCCGAGCGCGGAACAACTCTAAGGAGTGCCTGACATGATTTCGCTCATCGGTTAAATTCGTGTTTTGGTTCCCTATACTGTTCATATGCTCTGCTGAACATTTTACACATACATTGTTATTGCTTGACTTACACTACTTGATTATCAAGGTTAGCGGTTAATCATAGGCTTCTTCATCATGTATGCGTTCAGAAGATCTTGCAAAGAACTGAACGGACGGACGCCGCTCTTGTACGTTCTCCTGGAATGAAAGTGTCGCGCTCCCTCAACCCCGGAACCGTATAATCTGTAAATCTAGGCATGTAGTAACCTACCATTTCAGGGGTCAAGAGGGTGACAAAGATCAGAGACCATTATCGTTCAAGTTCGTGCTATGTCCGCCTGCGACGTTATCTGCGACGTTATGAGAGTGAGATCAACTACACATGTCCACACACTTCTTGATGACCCCACCCCGTTCAACATGGAGAGTGGAGAGTCAACATTCCGCTGGCTTTTGCAGTGTGCAGCTGGGAGCACAAGCGAGGCTAGCACTACCGGGGCCGAACAGCGACCCTTACTTTGCTTTGATGCTAGCCGCTATCCACTTGAAGCCTGCAAGCCCCTAAACCCTTTAAACCCTTAAACTCTGACCCCTAAACCCCTGAAGCCCTAAACCCGTGAAGCCCGAAACCTGCACCGGTTCCAGTGTTGAGAGCTCTCGCTGCCGGACATTTACTTCTGTCGGCTCCGGACATAGCAGCTTTTGTAAGCCGCAAGTACATAACAGCCTACTGTCTCAGCTCCCTCTGGGTGTTTCAACGCCATGTCGTCGGCGACAGACATACGCACACATGCACACACACAGAGAGCATTCTTACGTTACGCATCGTCAGATGCCCCAGCTGACTCATCTAAAGATCCGAAGAATCTCCTTCAATGATAAGTACTCCGGAGATCCACGAGATGTTCGGGCACTAGAAGCTTGTTGATCCGTGCCTCACCTACCACCGGGCTTCCTGAAGCTGCCATGGGCGGTGCCTCTCGGCTTTTTGTTGTTTTGGCTTAGCTCCGACCCATGCTCGGATTCTAAGCCCAGTCTCGGTCATTCCTTCGTTTCCCGGTTGATTTTGTATGATGCTGAAAATCTGACCGCCGCCAGGAACCTCTCCAGACTTCCCGACTAAGCCCTGAGTACATACATACATGCATACATACATACATGTATATACATATGTGTATATATATATATATATATATATATATATATATATATATACATTTGTACATAGGTGTGTGTATGTACGTGTGTGTGTATATATATATATATATACATTGGTAGATAAATAGTTAGATAGATAGACCCGACATCATACTAGCCCTTCAATTCCAGAGCTGAGCCGGCAAGTCAAGGCATTTTCCGGCCCTCCGCCGAAAGTTACGCAGCGCGTGTTTTTCGATGTGGCCATCGCTGGGAAGCAGACTGGGAGGATGCTCCACTTAGACTTCGAGGGGGTTTGGGTTCAGGGTTTGTATTTGGGCTTTGGGGTCTCAGATATATACAGGGTTTGGGGATGAGGGTTCAAGCAGGGTTCCAGGTTTGGGATTCCATTCGGGTTCTGGTTCTGGTTGTGTGGGGGAGGATGCTGAGTTGGGAGATGAAGATACCCGACTTCGGTTCGTTGATGGAGGCGAATGTCAGCGGGCCCTAATGAAGACGACGACGGTGATCACGATGATGACAATGATGATGGTTACGACGATGGTTCTGACAAAGCTGATGGTTACATTCATGATTGCGTTGCCGATGCAAAATGAGCTTAGTGGTGATAACGAGTCTCTGTGTGTGTGTGCTGATGCCATTACTGCAGGCAGCTACTAGCGTTGCCGTTGCCGGCGTCGTTGTTTTTTGTTGTTGGTGGTGGTGCTGCTGCTGCTGGTGGTGGCGGCGTCGGCGGTAGTAGTAGTGGTAGTGCCGACAGTGGCAGAGGTTGTGCTAGGTGTTCATGTTGTTCAATCGCCACGGATGTATAAGTTGCCTCAGGAAGAGTAGCCTGCGTGCCCCGGCTGCGTTTGCAGTCGAAAGACCAAGGTAGAGGCCCAGGAAGCGTTGCGAAACCATTGTTTGTTCAAGCCACGTTGCTCGGTGTAGCCGAGCCTACTAGAGCCATCACAAGAGTGCAGCAGCGGAGCCTGAGCCCCAAGCCCCGAGGCTCAAAGCAATGTTAAATCCAAGTTCGAAGCACCCCGAGAAATCTGAATAGAAACGGACACTCGCAAACCCTGAACTCCCCAGGATCGTGGTCGGGCTCTACGGAGTCGCGGCAGAGCAGTCTTGCTTTAAGCGTTTTATGTCTTGTTTTTGCTTGGGTCTTATCCTCAGTGCTTTCGGGGGCAGGCGCTTTTCAGAGCTCCTTCACGCCCCAGTCCAACGTGAGCACAAGCTATGTGAACCCAATACTTGTAAACTCTATGGCTTCATTCTGTAAACCCGAAGCACCTCAGCCCTAAACCTCACCTTTGCCCCCGCCCTCCTCATTTCTCAAACTAGAAGTCTGCTGAGTGCTTGTTAATTATTGATTGCCATTGTCTGGAGAGGAAGGGAGGGATGGACAGAGCGAGGGAGGAAGGTGAGGCAGAGACGGAGGTATGTTCACAGTGTCTTACACCCTGAGTTGAAGCCCTAGAGCCAGAAAACCCCAAAACCCCCAGCCCTAAATCCCAACCAACCTTGGACCGTACCGGAAGCATCTTCAAGACACCCAAGGAGAGCACGTGCCGAAGACCGCCGCGAACTTCGAAGCACTCTGCAAGTGGAGCTCCCGGCTCTACACTAGTTACTAGTTCCCTTACAATCAAGGAGTGTGTGTGTGTGTGTGCACATATATATGTTCACACATGCGCAGATAAGCATGTATACATGTATGCTGCTGCAGCTCCTGCTACCGCGGCTGCGACTGCTACCGCTACTGCGAACTGGTGCTGCTGCTGCTGCACTACAGTTGCGACTGTTACTGCTAATAATACTCCTGCTGCTGCTGCTGCTTCTGCGAACAACCGCCGCTACCACAACTTGCTGTTCTTCCGGTTACCAGCGCGAAGGAAATTCGTCGTCACGAGTCGCAGTTGTAGTAGTCGCCTTCGCAATGGTAGTTTGGGCTGTCTTAGTGCAAGCATGCAGAGAGTTCAGGTGCGACAAGGGCGCTCCGCTTTGCTACCGGGGCTCTCCCTTCCACCGCCGCTCGTCTTGTTTCCTTCTTCTGGGTCGGGGGTGTACTGTAGGGCTTCTGATACTATGTTACTATTTGGGCCTAAGTTGCTGAAGTAACTGACAAGGACTATATGTTAGAACAAGATGCCCCCGAACCGTATTCTTATGTCTACGGCCCCTGCAGTACACGTGTTAGGGTTTATATGGCACAGGGATAGCTCCTTACTCGGAGACAAGCCTCGTGCTCTATGTACTGGCTGCCGAAATGAAACTTGCCTTTGCCCTCTGCTTGCTTCCGTCCCAGTAGACAATATACTCACGTATCGCAACAGAAGCCTGTACACTCTATGAGCCTGAAGTCCTATGTATGCAGCAACGGGAGCTAAGGAAACAGCTGCTGTCTCTGGAAGCCCCGGGAGAAGATCTAGTAATCGGCACGATTTAGGGTTAGCACAACCTTACATATGGGTGGGGGACCCTAATTTTGACAACTACCCATACGCTGACCTGAAGCTTCTTCGTAGCGTGGGGTCCGTGAAGGGAAATTGAAAATGGCCTGCATGTTGAACTCATCTGTCTTCCCACACCCACAGACCTCCTTCTCTGCCACCAGGCCGAGATCGTAGTGTATTGTCCTTGAGCTGTTCGTACATTTTTCAGACAACGGTTCTGTTGGGTTTCTGCAGTGCACCGTGTCTGCTGCATGTAGTCTCAAGTGCTTGACAACAAAGGGTTTGGACATAGGATTGGCAACATTTCCAACTCGAGTTTTGATCCGAAGATTCGTTCTGCCAGTGAGGTATCATACCCGGATTCATGGTCCAAGGGGGTGACACCACCAACGGTGATGGGACTGGCGGGGTGTCCATCTACGGTGGACGCTTCGAAGACGAGCAGCCGCTTGGCAGCGGTTAGGAGGTAAGCGAACATCCAACGCCTTTGTCGCGAAGCTTTCCGAAGGGCGGTTAGTGTCGTCATCATGGCCACCGCCATACTCACCGCACGAGGCAAAATATCTTAAATCCAGAACTGCCTAATGCGAAGCCCCGAGTTTCATGCACCTGCCAAGCCTGTAATTACATACCTTATACCCGCAGATTCTTGAAAATCCCAGAGGCCGGATGCGGTCGCGCCTTAAACTCCGAAGACCCAACAGCGACAACTCAGACCCACCGCCCGAGCCCCCCAATCTCCGCCTAGGGTTTAGGAAGTTTAGGGAGGGCTTTGAAAGGTTTGGAGTGTCGCACAACAAACCTGGGTTGCTGAGCATGGCGAATGCAGCCTGGCCTCCAAAGTCTTGGGGTTTAAGGTTTAGGGTTTTTGTCGGGGCTTACCGTTTAGTAAGTTTATAAGTGTACACTTAAGGGTTGGATCGAAATATTCCTTTAACCTGCTCGCATGTGTAACCGCTCTGATACATTTGTTGAGGTAGGCCCCAAACCTGGCACTTCTACCTATAGTCATAGTCTCCATTGTAGTTCTTTTTTTGGATAACCAGTTTTATGGATAGGATCCTATAATAGAGATTTGGGGTAACCAAACAGGGAACTACAACAAAACAGGGAACTACAATGGGGACTATAGGTAGGGTTTTGGGGTGAGCCTCGTGCTTTCAGGGTGGTTTGCATCATCGCGAGGTCAGAAGACTCTCAAAGAGTCTTGAATACAAGCGCAATGTTCCCCGTTATAAGTTGTAGTCCCTAAAGCCCGTTATAAGTTATAGTCCCCAAAGCCCGTTATAAGGTATAGTCCCTAAAGCCCGTTGTAAGTTATAGTCCCTAAAGCCCATTATAAGGTATAGTCCCTAAAGCGGGTTTTCTAGCAGCATGAGGCTTGGGTTGGAAGGGCTGGTGGGCCGTGTAGGGTGGCTTGCAGGATTTGGCTTTGGTGACTTGTTTGGACAACGGTGTAACTAGTAATCAAAGGTTGTAGGGCTCAACAAAAGGTTGATGACTTCAGTGTTGTCGGATATTTAGGTCGTTATGGCTTGTTGTCCAGTACTCAAAAGAGGCACAGCACAGGCACCTACGACTTCAGGGAGCTGGGCTTGTGGAGTTCAGATGCGCAAGAGACTCTGGATCGCTCCCAAGATGTTCTTTTTCAGACTTACCGGTCGCAGTTGGAGGCTTCAGAGGTCGGGTTTGGTCGGAGTATTTACGTGGAAGGTTGCAAAGCATCGTCACCGTTCTTCGAGCCTTTGTAATATGTACTATCTAGTATACAATACAATATCCACAAGCATATCTGTTAATTATGTAACATGTAAAAAGGAAATATCGCATGGCGGATGCTGTAACTGTGTAGGGACTCAAGGATTCAGCATTAAGGGCTCCTGGAGGCTTAAGGGTTCCGCTCCCCGAGTGTGGGCTCAGGCTGGCCCGAACACAAACGGATCCCAGTTCTTCATTACGACCGCGCCTGCGTACCATCTCGATGGATGCCCGACAGCATGGTTTGGCAGTGCAGCTGTGATTGCAGGTTGAGGGCTGCTTGGCAGCTGTTCAATTGATCTTCATTATTTGTCAAGAAGTCACAACCGTACTTTCGGGTGGATATGAGCGATTAGCAAGCCGTAGCTTTGAGTGGGAGCCTTCATTGCTTCTCCCTCCCCTTTTAGCAGGGCTCCTCAACATACTTACTTATTACAGGGTTTGGGGTTTAGGGTTCCTTGGTGGGAACATAGTAAGGTTTAACCCAAAGACCAGGCCGTATACAGTTAGGGTAGGCCTTGCCCAGTTTTGGAAATTACATCACCGTCAACCAAATAGTAGCCATTATATCCTAAAACACATTACCATATAGAACTTACCCTAATATACCATATAAATCACAACTAATAGCTCATTATCCTTAAAATACTCTACCTCATCCTATTGATCAGGTGATGTAACTCCCCGAACTGGGCAAGGTTAGGTTTATTCATTTTATGGGGAATAGTATGGGGTAGTAGGGGGCTTCTCAACGAGCCACAGCAGTGGCGTTACTTCGTGAAGATTCTCCACAAAAAACGGTGTGCCTTGCATGTTTAGTGGTGAAGTCCTGTCTACAAGTGCTGCGCGAGATTCTGCCAGAGAGCCAGAGCAAAGCATGAGCTACCTTGGTCAGTGCAGCGTCTTTTCTCATAGCGGCCTTTGTTTGCGTTCAGCTCACCTGATAAATAGGACAATTTCTATATGGTAATGTATTTTAGGATATGATGGCTACTATTTGGTTGACGGTGATGTAATTTCCCAAACTGGGCAAGGCCTACCCTAACTAATACTACTCAATGCCCGCTGTGCAGCCCTGCGACACTGAAGCGCTGAATCCAAAACTTCGAGAATTTTGAATCTTATCTTTCAAGTCGTGTGTAGTGTATGGGCCTTAGTAATTTGAAGACGGCTTCCGGACAATACCAGTCATGTTACCCCACAATCCATTCAAGCTCGCGCCCTACTGCGAGAGCCTCAACTTTTGCGGAAAGGCAAGCACGTCGTCTTTGGCGAGGTGCTGGAAGGCAGGGTGGGTGCTAGGAACTTTCAGACCCCACTCGGCAGTAGATCGAGTGTACAGGAAGGACTTTTGGGAGATCGTACCCGCGACAATGTCGGCATCTGTCATGCCGTAATGCTCCCTAAGCTGAAGATAAACCCTGGACCCCGCGTAGAGTCTGACACCCTAAAGCCTGTAAGCCCCAGGCCCTGAACGCTCAAGTTTCTCGATTCAACGACAGGATTTTTGTCTACGATATAGGCCCTGATAATTTCATTTGGGACTGCTGAAGGATGATATTCGGTTGATATACCGTATAGAATCATAGGAGCATAGTCACTTGGAGGATTGTAAGAGCACCTCCTAGTATACTTCTACACGGATTACATACGGGCATAGCTTTCCGACATGGGACACAGGCTGCCTGAAGGATTAGTAACCCCGAACCAGACTCAACGCTCCACGAGGCAGGACGTAACGATTAGGGCTTAGACTATTGGCTTCAAGGACCCTCAACTGTGTGAGGATTGTGGGTTTGTTTTGGAGGTTTGGTTCGTGGGGTGTTGTGATAATCATTTCCGTGGATCCTGCGAACTCCACACCCCAACTGTCTGCGCCTGAGCATCCAGTAAACCCCAAAACTTGTTGTTTTACCGCTGCCAGCAGACATCAAAGAGACGTTCAGCACCGAAACAGCACACGGTGGTCAGCGTGCCCTAATGTAGAAGCCAGAAAGCCGGAACGTCATGATCGCCATGCCTAGAAGCCAGTAAAGTATAAGGGATCTCAGCACTAATCATCCTTCATTTGTGTTCCAACTTTCCATGTTCACCATAAGCGCTTGGGTTCGGAAATCTAGGGGCCGGAAGAACCAGAGTGGGTTGATGGTTTAGGCAGCAATGAGTTCTATTCCCTTATTGTCCCCTGGCAGTCATCGCATGGGGTACCCCCAAACCCTGTTCTAAGTGTTCACACCCGTAAATCCGGAACCCTAGACTTTAGACCACAAGCCTCGATTCTCTGTGATTCTCTGTTTCTGAACCCTACGTAGACCCTGCAAGCCCTAGCACGCTCAAGCCTATAAGAGCCCAAGGTATCTCAACCCAGAACCAGATATTATTACAGCTAGGGGCCTTAAGAAATACCATTACTATCCCCAGGATAACCCCAAAACCCTGTTGTAATTTGAAGGAACCTGGAAAAGGCCATATAAGTCTATTATGGAAAAGTCTTCAAACATGGGAGGACAGCAGGTGGTGAAAGCTCTGGAGTCCCACGGTGTGTTCCTCAATTTTCCTGAGGGGTCGTGAATTCCGGTTACATGGCGGGGTTGAGGTTTAGAGGTCAGAGCTTCAGGTTTGCAGTTTAGGGGGTGGAGGTGGGGTTCTTGAAATGACGGGTACCATCTGACCCCTAATATTCAGGGATCTATTTGTGAGAGATTCCTTCTTCCCAAAGGATCTTTTGAGGCAGTCACTCATTTCCAGGAAAGCCGATGTTGACACTGTCATGGAGTATGCAGAATAGGACAGCACATGGCGCATAAGTATTTCCGGAAGTGTGTTCGGACATCTGATGTCCTCAACACAGTTCGTGGCAATCATACAGTAGCAGCATAATGACCCTCGGCAAAGGTAATATGACCAAGTCTCAAGATCAAGTGAAAGACAATGGCGTTGATGCCAATGGTGAAGATTCGAAGATCATGTGGTGCCTGTGATGCTGATTCATGGTGACGAGAGGATCAACATCGAAGTCTGCCATGACAGGTCGAAATGATGATAACTAACGGTTGAACCAGAATGCTTCAACCGATGGCGACCACAAGAACGACCGTGACAACTGACGGCGAGAGTGACAATGAGTATGATGACGATTACTCTGACTGCTGTCGTTGAGCTGGTCAGTATTGATGATGACAGTGACGTTGAAAGCAATCGCGACGAAGAAGCCGATGATGATTGTGAAGATGTTGCAAATTCTGAAAGTGATGACATTCCTGGACCCTTAATTTGTTTGTTTTTGGCTTGCCTGGCTTTCTTGACTTAGGCTCCTAACCCAGCTACGGGCTATGCGTAACATGCTTGGGACATGTTTACTCTACGCTCCTGCTGCGACGACCGCAGCAGCAGCTGCTGCAGCTGCAGCTGATGATGATAATGGTGGTGATGACGACGACGATGATGATGATAATAGAATTGCTCCCACAGCAGCTCCTGTTGCTGTTGTTGTGGTTGTTGCTGTTGCTGTTTCCACTGCTTACTGTATGCTTCCCCTGCGCCAGTGCGATGACTGCATCGAGTTAGACTGAATTAGATTCAGTTTCCGACAGACGAAGCCTGCTTCTAAAAGGAAGCCATATATGAAAAGCATGTAGCAGGGCTGCGCCTGGTGCTGGGTAGCAACACTTCATGGCGGGCTCGGAGAAGCGGGGCCAGCGACCGGGTACGATTGCGTGGTGATCTCGCCTCCCGGACTCTTGCGCGAACATGGGTAGTTGTCAAAATTAGGGTCCCCTTTTAGGGTAGCCAAAAAGGGACCCTCATTTTGACAACCGCCCACATATCAAGCAACTTGTTGACCGGCCTCTGCTCTACGAGTCACTGCGCTCCATCGGCCCCGAAGGTTGTTGCCATGAACTCCGATAGGACCCCTAGGTATATATCCTTAATATAGCTATTATATACCCATTATATAGCCCATTACAGGGTAAGAGTCTTGCTCGCGCACAAGCTCGACGCAAAAGCACTTCCTGGTGGCTTGCTCTCGAGGTCGTAAAAGCGACTTCCGATTCAAAGACCTTTCCTGCTAGCGCATGTCCTCCTCCTACCACGGATGGTTACCAACCGGGGTCAACCGGGCACAAGCAGTGACATTGCCAGTTCTCGTCAGCTAAAGCAGGCTAAGTGGTTGCAGCCAACACCAGCCGTTGGTCACGAAATATGTGGTATCCAAACGCAGGTTTTCGTGCATAAGCACATTCGTGATGATTCGCCCTAAGCCCTACAGACCCTTATACCCTAAACCCTAAACCCCTATTCAGCTCACATTGTGCTAACTCAGAGCTCGGCAGTGCTTTGAGGTACTGCCTCAGGACGGCCACTGCAGAAGGCGACCATTGCCGACTGTGGTGCCTGGGCATGGCGAATTCAGGATTTTCCGGATTAGGGTCTCAGGGTCTGGGATTTAGTGACTTACCCCTCAATGCCCAAACCCTAAACCCCTAGAGCCCCAAAACCTATAGAGCCCCATACCATCCCAAACCCCTAAACCCCCAAACCCTACCCATAGTCTCCATTGTAGTTCCTTTTTCTGGTTATAACCAGTTTTATGCTTAGGATCCTATAATAGAGTTTTTGGTTAAACAAAAAAAGGAACTACAATGGAGACTATAGGTAGAGTTTAGGGTTGCTACCCCAAGCCACCAAGACCTTGAACTCCAAACGCAAAAGCTCAAACCAACCCAACGCCAAAGCCGACATTTTGAACTTTTCAGGGTTTACGTATGGTAGAGTGTTAAGGCTTCGAGACTGGTCGAGCAAATGTATCATGGAGCCCTTTAGCAGATCCCTATTCGAGTACTTACATGCCCTAGAGTAATCAAGCGGATCCTGAAGTTTCGGTTTAGGGTATAGACGTTAGGGTTTGGGTCTTATTTCGACAGCATGGCGCACACCTTGTTGACCCGGAATCAACAACACTGGCTGGAGTCACACTATGGGTGCACGGAGTTTACGGCATGTCACAACTTAGTGACAACAACAACAACAACAGAAGCAACAGGAGTGGCAATAATAGTCACAGCATTGCCAGCACCAAACGTAGTGATGACAGCAGTATTAGCAGTAGAAGTGTCATAGCAGTAATGCTGCCACCTCTTGGACCGAACATGTTCAAGCTGAGGCGTCCTGCCAGACATCGAGTGATGCGAAACTGCCGCGATGTCCTCCAGAATTTCGGTTGCAGAAGAAATCCCGTAAATTTGACGTTCGACCCTGCGCCCGCCTGATAGTCCAATTCAGGAACCCAAAAAGGACACAAGCATAAGCATTTTATAGGGATATCCCTACCTTATTGGGCTTCACCATATATGGTTTTCAATGGGAAATCCCTATCCTGTTTTTTTTTGCTTGTGTGCTTTAGGGCGGCCCCAGCAATGCCGGACGGTGCCACAACAACTTGTCCTAGCATATGGGAGTTTCCAAAAATTAGGGCTACCTTATTCTGGCGTCCTCATAATAAGGATCCTACTATTTAGGGTACTATATTTGGGTCCCCTATTTTCGGAAACTCCTATATTCAGTTCCAGGCCAATCATCATCCCACGCCTGCGGTTCTCGGCATTGTCAGTAGCTTACTTTGGCGCCTGATCTTTGGAGCAGCCATGTGAAATCGAAAGAGCAATCGACAGCATGATAATTTTCAATGCGTACGAACATGAATGTCGCTTATAGCTTTGCCGCTGGCCATGTGATTATGTCTGTGAAAAGAGCACTAGTCACTAGTGAGACCAATGTTGGACCCAGGTGCGGTCAGCGTATCCCTGGTCCAGACAGGGAGGGCTTGCTGGCAGCTTTTGCAGCTATAGTGCCGTCAAATCCGCTGAGGTTGCGGCGCCGGCGGAAAAATTGCATGGGGCCAGTATGCACACCGATTGCGCCCTAGTGTGGCCTGACGCCAACAACAACAAAAAACAACCTCATGCACATACCAAACATGCAGGGTCCGTTGCCGCTACAACGACGCTTAGAAAGTACCGTCGCCCTGTAAAGTTCGCGCAGGGAGTCTGACTCCAATCCCTAACCCGCACGCCCTCATCCGTAACGTGCACTCTTGCAAGAGATCTTCACAACCGTATTCTACTTGGTCCATACTCTTTTGCTTTCTGTGGCACTTGCCTCGACCTCCGTGTCCTCAGCCATAAGCCTCGAACCTTAAAAAGCCTTCACCCCACTCCCCCTAACTGTTAAACCACAAGACCTCACCGGATCTCTTGCCAGATCCGCGCCGTCGAAGCAGAGCTCGCCAGTCTCTTTAGCAAGGAGGACTTTGCAGGGAGCCTTGCTGTGACCCTTAGGCTTGTACCTAGGGCGTCACGAGGCATGGCTAGAGTTGTTTATTGTCAGGAGTTGTGCTACTGAAGCCTGAACAGCTCGATGTCGGCAGGTTGATGTCAGGTCACCGGAGCCCTTTGTTGCGATTTAAGGCATCAGGTAGTGAAGACTTTCGCTCTGTTGATGCATGCCGCTTTCTCGAGTGCATACATGTCAATCTTAGATTGACATGGTAACAAGATCCTGATCATTGTTTCAGTGCTTGGGTCATCCCAGTGGGTGTTTGTGCCTAGCAGTCCAAAATCACGGTTGCTGCCTGGCGTGGTTGGGAGCATTGCTAGCTTGACGTGCCCAGACCCCCGGGAGGATCTAGAAAGTAGATCCCCTAATTTGGGGCCCTATATACCACTCAGGGTACTCTATAGGAACCCTCATTAAGGGATCTGCTTTTTGGATCATCCCGGGGGTCTGGGTATTAGCTCTTGGCGAAGTCGTCGCAGCATCGCTTCGCTTCCCTCTCTGCAACCGTAACATCCAAGCTTCACAGAACCCCTTCAGAACCCTCATGCCCCGCCCCTCCCTTCCCATTCATTGAAGGATCTTTAAGTAATCCTTTTGGTGCTGTTGTGATTTTCATGTCGATCAAGTCCGCTGCTCAGGCGGCCCTCGGCCCCACCAAATGAGACCCCAAATCGGCTTAACCGCCTATAGAAGCCCATGGACCACCTTGGTGTGCTAGAGGATTTTCGACGGAAGTCCATTCCCGAGCCACGTAAGCTCAACAGACAGATGAAACACCCGAGGTGGAGCCAAGCACTGGCTAAAAGTATTATTTGCGCTTTGTATCCTGCAGCTGCGCACTATATGTTTGTATAGCCCCCTTGTACTTCTTTCACTTGCCAGCGCCATGATATCCACAGGCCGCAACCCACTCAAGCCGAAGACGGTGTCATCTCTTCTTCAAGTGCAGACCGTATCGGCTCACTGGGGATTTCGGTAGGGTTCAGGGCTTGGGGTATGGTTGACTGCTCTTTATAAAGCTTTCTTTCGGACCTCCTGCTTCGCATCGTTGGTATTGAGCATGCAAGGTCAGCAAACTTGATTCGGTGCATCCTCAAGTTTAAGAAGCAGTAGCCCTCTTTAAGCCCCTGAGCATCACATCCGACCTTCGTCAACAAATTTACGTTTTCACGGTGCCTTCCCTCAACTTTAAGCTCCAAGAATTCAGCAGGACATCAGAAATTCCGGTAACTTTCATGATGGCACGAATACAAAGGCCAGTTGCCTCCAGCAGCTCAGCGTAGAGTCCAAGTCTTGCATCTTATATTCCCAACAGCAAAGCATCCTAAACAAGGCTTATAAGCCCAACAACCCTGAAATTCAAGCAGCTTCCTCCGGGCGCCGCGCCGGGCCCGCGCAGGACTCCTCTGTCGATTTGGAGGTTATGGGGTTTAGGGGTTAGGATGAGGGGTTTCGGGTTTACGGTTTAGGGTTTTTGGCTGCGCGGGGCTTTGGCAGGGCTGCAGGTTTGCATGCCCTAGAAGGTTCCGTGCAACCAGAACACTGTTCCTAGGTTTTCCACCGTCTTCTGACCATGGAGCAGGAGCACCACATCACGTCACAACTATATGGGTGGTTGTCAATTTGTGGTCCCTTTGTGGGTCCTTACTATCATACGGCACCTAATATTTAAGGTACCCAAAGAGGGACCCTAATTTTGACAACCACCCATATATGTGTGATGCAGTCTTCGTCGTCTCAATATCAGAGTCTTCTGCTTCCGCCGCGGTGACCACCCAGAACCAGTAGTAGCGTTGTCGTCATCGTCCTGCCGTTATAGCTATATATATATATATGTATGTATAAATATAAATATATATATATATATATATACATATATATATATATATATATACACATTACCGTTGTGATTTAAGTCCCTACAAAACTGCGGTGTCGACAGCATATCTCTTTCTTTCTTGTCACTATGTTATACCAGTAGTTATTAATTATAAGTGTAGCGGTTCGAAAACAGATCCCAACACCAAGTGGTTGGCAGCCACCCTACATAAAACCCTATCAACATTCAGACCCCGAAATTAGCCAGACCCACCACGTCAATGCAACAATAAACCTTAGGAAACCGAGTGGACGTTCCGTCGGGTCTGCCCCAGAAGAGTGCCAACAGATGGCTGCTATATATTATTCCTGATTCACGACACTAGATACCTCAACCTTACATCCAAACCTTCTGAATCCCAAACCGAGCAGCCACAACCCTGGCCCCTATTATAATCTCGAACCCAAACTGTTCCGTCTTCTATACACAGGAAAGGATGCAGTTCGCTCGGCGTGAGGCGAAAGAGCGCGTGGAGCTCAGAGTACACCCTAAACCCCCTGGACTTAAACCCCACCCTTAAACCCTACAGAAGCCGCGTGGTTCGTGCTTGATTGTTGTTTGGGGGGTCTTCGAACTTGTGAGTCTCTGTAATTATGAGGGCTTGGTTCAGGGACTGGAGGTTGTGGGCTTGAGCGGTTACATCTATGATGGAGTACTACCGGTTTAGGGTTTAGGGTTTAGGGCTACCACTACGACGACGATGATGACTATAATCTAATCTTAGTCAGGCTCCAAATCCTCATGTTAGCACTAGGGCGATTCCTACTACGAGAACCAACACTCTTACGAACACCAGCTCCAACCTCCAACCCTGGCACTAACATTCAGACTAGCACGAATGCTGCTGCTGATGCTACATTTGAGTTCAGCAGTGGTGTTCTTTCACTGGAACTGCCAGTTGTGTTATTGCTGTCTCGGTTGCTTTCCTCGAGTTGGGTATTCCTTGACAGCATAAAACACTACCGCCTGTATGGAGTTTAGACTTCTGAACCTAAGATTCCCACATGGGAGTTTCCGAACATTAGGGGTACCTCAGTGGGGGTCCTTATAATAAGGATCCTACTATTTAGGGCACTAGATTAGGGTCCCCTATCTTCGGAAACTCCCACATCCAAAACCGTAGAAGAAGTTTACTGCCGAGGCGTGGACTTGGATCCCCTCCGAGTGCTTCACCTGCGCAACAAGTGCTCGGCGCTGCAGCGAGGGGGCGGCGGGTTTGCGGTTCAGGGTTTAGGGTTTAAATAGGATAGGTGGCAGCCACAGCACACTAAGTACGCCAGCAATTGCACACACTACCTTCCTAAACCCCTAATTAACCGCAACCAACAAGTTCAGGGCTTCAGTTGAATTGATGGGCCCGAGCCTTTCGAATCATGTTGACAAGAGACGTAGCGGACGTAGCGCTAGTTTGATGACCGAGAGCACCCACAGCACCTTGTATGTAAAGGGTTCTGCATGAAGACGATGCCGGGCTTCCTTTGTAACCTTGAGAGAAACTTAAAGAACCTCAGCCTCCCTATATGTGATAGGTTAGTTGCGAAGAGCAGCAATGGCAGCTGGAGCACACTAGTTGTGGCAACGAGATGAACAGCAACGATGGCGTTTGCAGTAGCTATACTGGCTCTGCCTAGTAGTGCCAGCGAACAGTAGCAAATCACATAGTTCTTTCAGCATTGTGTCGTTTTGGTAAACAGCCTAGACGTAAATCGCTACCTCCCCTCCTCATCCTCGAAAGGGTGCGCGATTCCGAGGCGAAATGAGAAGGAAGCACGGCTCACTCAGCAGAGCCAGGCCCTTAGGAGTTGATCCAAAGACCCGGCGTCCTTCAGCAGCTTAAGGGCTTCAAGCTTCGTCCGACCCATCTCTGCAAGAAAGTCGTCGAGGGCATTCACGCTCCTTCAGATTCCTGGAATCCAGGACCCTGCATTTCTACACCACAAGACCGAATTGAAACCCCAAGCCCTAACCGCAA